TCCAGATTCTGGCTATTAAGAATAAAGCTGCAATGAACATGGTTGAGCAAATGTCCTTGTTGTATACTTAAGCATATTTTGGATATATGCCTAGGAGTGGTATAGCTGGATCTTGAGGTAGCACTATTCCAAATTGTCTGAGAAAGCACCAGATTGATTTCCAAGGTGGTTGTACAAGTTTACATTCCCACCAGCAATGGAGGAGGGTTCCTCTTTGTCCACATCCTCTCCAGCATGTGTTGTCACTTGAGTTTTTGATCTTAGCCATTTTGATGGGTGTAAGGTGAAATCTCAGGGTCTTTTTGATTTGCATTTCCCTGATGACTAAGGACATTGAGCATTTCCTTAAGTGTTTCTCTGCCATTTGATATTCCTCTATTGAGAATTCTCTGTTTAGCTCTATACCCCGTTTTTTAATTGGATTACTTGATTTGTTGCTGTTTAACTTCTTGAGTTCTTTATATATTCTGGATATTAGCCCTCTTTGTCAGCTATAGGGTTGGTGAAGATCCTTTCCCATTCTGTAGGCTGTCATTTTGTTCTGATGACAGTGTCCTTTGCTTTACAGAAGCTTTTCAGTTTCGTGAGGTCCCATTTATTGATTGTTGATCTTAGAGCCTCTGCTGTTGGTGTTCTGTTCAGGAAGATGTCTCCTATGCCAATGGGTTCAAGGCTCTTCCCTACTTTTTCTTCTAACAGATTTAGTGTGTCTGGTTTTATGTTGAGGTCTTGGATCCACTTGGACTTTAGTTTTGTGCAGGGTGATAAATATGGATCTGTTTGCATTTTCTACATGTTACATCCAGTTAGATTAGCACCATTATTTGAAGATGCTGTCTTTTTTTCTTTTGTATGGTTTTGGCTTCTTTGTCAAAAATCAAGTATCCATAGGTATGTGAATTTATTTCTGGGTCTTCCATTCGAGTCCATTGATCTATCATTCTGTTTCTTTGCCAGTACCATGCAGTTTTTATTAATATTGCTCTGTAGTACAGCTTGAGATCAGGGTTGGAGATACCTCCAGACGATCTGTTGTTGTACAGGATTGTAAAACACCATGTCCTTAAGGACAGCTCAAAGGTAAATTATTTCCATCACAGGTTACTATTCTTTATCCTATGGGAATAAAAATTCATGAAGTGGGAAAAGAAGTTGGAAGCTCATTTATGGAGAGCTTGTCATGGAGGGAAAGCTCAGTCAGGAACCCCAGTGGACTGCCCCAACTTCCGCAGCCAATTTAGCTCACTATAAACCCATGCATTCATGCTCTGCTTACATTTGCTCTTGAATTAGGCTATTCCACTCATATCTGTTGGATGCTATAAGCATCTGTTTGGTGCTTCTATTTATCTACTACTTATTTGCTTTGCCTTTTTGCTTGCTATATACACCATAGGACAAGCACCCTAATGTTTGCTATTTGCAGAGGGCCCTGGAAACAATCCCCTAAAAATACTGTGAGACAAATGTACTGGAAAGTTAAATACAAATATAATTTTGAAGATCCAAACAGAAGTACAGTTTTATTTTGTCAACTGTTTGAAGGTATTAATTTTACAATAACTCAGATTATTACTTTTTTGCAATTTATTTTTTAATTTATTGCTTCCTCCCAATCCCACCTTTCCTCCCCCCCCCCATTCCACACTCCTAGTCCACTGATATGGGAGGTCCTCCTCCCCTTCTATCTGACCCTAGCCTATCAGGTCTCATCAGGACTGTTGCATTGTCTTCTTCTGTGGCCTGGCAAGGCTGCAACTCCCACCCCCCCAGGGAGAGATGATCAGAGAGCCTGCCACTAAAATCATTCCAGAGACAGCTCCTGGTTTTTCAAGGCAGGGTTTCTCTGTGTAGCCCTGACTGTCCTGGACTTGCTTTGTAGACCATGATGGCTTCCAACTTGCAGAGGTCCTCCTGCCTCTGTCTCCCTGAGTGTTGGGATTATAGGTGTGTACCACTTCGTCTAGCCATATCATTAATCTTAGAATCCAAACTTGGTGATTTTTAAGAATTTACTCCTTTTTGAGTGGATTGGTATTCAAAATGTTTTAAAACAGTTGCTAACATTTTACCACTGTATTCTAATCACATAATTAACTGTCAATATGTTCCATGTGTGGAAAGAAGTTTACTTGTGCTAAGTATTCATTATCTTCCTTTGAGGCTGTTTTAACAGGAATGGGAAAAAAATTGGCAAGAATGTAGGCTCCCAGTCTTATGCAAGCTGGCTTATATCCCACCTCCTGTGGGTAGAGCAGAAAATGGAAGGGAGAGAAATGGTGGTGCTAAATTCCTGCCCACGCCTCCAAATGGAACAAAGAAGGATGGTTTCTTGTTTAGAAAACCAGGAAGAGGAATGGTTGACCATCCATGTTCTAAGGCACCTTCATCTCTTTTCAAGAAAGAGTTACAGTTTCTCCTGGTCATCAGGGAGCTGGGTAGAGCCCTGCACCCTGTAAAGCACAGAGGTGGAGCCCAGCACCTGACTATCTTTTGGAATTTCATTTTTGGCCTTTTGTAAGGATTTGACTGTTTTGTCTCCAGTATGGCAGATTTTGAGTCATGAGCATGAAACCTACATGAATAGATAACCACTTTTCTCTTGGGAGTCCATTTTCTTGCCAGGCTGGAATAATTACTGCCATAGCCATTTGTGATAAAACAAGGTCACCTCTTCTGTTTTCTTTTCTGAATACACCATTTCTCTCTGCTCTCTACTGTGATTGAAGCCATCTTCATCACATCTGCTTCCTGACCTTGTCTTTTCAGCCTCTAGTACTACAAGCTCAAGTCAAGCTCTTTTATTTACAAACTATCTAGTACCAAGTGTTCTGTTCTAACAAAACAAAACAAAAAAACAGAACAAAACAACAACCAAACAAAGGCTAATATAAGATGATCCCTTGAGAGTGGAAGTGGAAGAGTAGCAGAGTATAGTGTGAGGTATATACATGATTCTGTAGGTGTCAGAAGGCCACAGGAATATACTTTAGTAGAATGACAGATCCCTCAGCTCCTGTACTCAGAAAACAGAAGGGAGAAAAATCATGTATTTGTTTATTGTTCTGCAACCCATAGCGAATCCAGCCTGAGTAAAAAAAACAGGGCTTTGATTTTTGTTATTGTTCTTGGCCTTAAATCAAGTTTTATTGTTTCAGCTTCATGTTCTACTAAATATCCAAATGGCTAACATACATTTTATTTTCAGTGGTGTCCTCTTTTCATTTGGAAAAGTAGTGTTGGGAATAGTAAGAATCAGTAAGAAGCATACTTTCTTGTCTGAACTCTCTGACCCCACATTTTCCACTGAGAAAAGAGAGGAATTCCAGTGAACACAGAAGCCAAGCCAAAGTTAATGTACCACAATGAAAATAAAGCTGTGAGATGGCTTTGTGAAAAGTGTGTGGAAAGCCATGTAGTAGGAGTTTGAACTTCATTCTCTGCATAATGGAGAGCTCTCAAAATCTTGGAGAGACAGTAGACATGAGCTTTTTATGAGTTGACTGAGTGCCCTTGCTTTTCGTATGGAGAATGGATAAGAAAGGGCTTTGAAGCTTCATGTCATCTCTCTAGACCAGAAATTCATCTCAAATACTACCAATGATGCTCTACAGCAGTGAAAAATGAAGGGTGTGGACTCTGGCAGATCCCAGAGGAAGAGCAAGGATTGCAAATCCACCATAACCAGATGTACCAGTTAAAAAGGTAGATTAAGTTCTTTAGCAAATATGGTTGCCCAAATTAAGGCAGTTTTGATATAAATGGGTCATGTTGGAAAAAAAGTTGTATGGAAGAAAGTATTGATGAAACATAATCAAACAAATGGCTAACGGATAGCTTGGAGAGAAAAACTCAGACACATGAATTATAAACCCAAGATTAAAGGAGACTATCAATAAATAAAATTCAACAGAAGAGAGAGATTTACAATTTACAATGTTCTTGTGGCTTCCAAGCAAAAATATCTAGAATACTGTAATCTTGGAGTTGGAGCTCAGAGAAAATATGAGATTTAAAAGTCATTGGCATGGTTAAAGTAGGGCAATGTGTCAGACGTGGATATGTTGCTTCCAGGCAGAGAACACAGCACAGTAGATTAGACACCTCAAGATTTAATTAATCATTAAGTTGAGGTTTTTCTAGGAAAGTGGCTGAGGAAGAGCCATCTGAGGTGGCTCTTTCATTTCAGAAGCCAAGAAAGATATTATACATGAAGTAGTTGCCTAAGATAAACAACCTGCAAAGGAGACCTATTTGGTAATAAAGAAGTCACCTATGTGATCTTGTGAGATCTTTTGAGAAAGCTGTTTCTGAAGAATGAGTGGCAGGAAGGAGAGCATGGTGTCTGGACTTAGCTGGGAATAAAGGAAGCAGAAAGGGAACATAGAAACTCTTCCCTGGGAAACATTAGTTGTGGGGGAAAGAAAGAAAACACAGTTTGAAAGAAGGAATTTCTCTTTTAGAGGGTTTGTTAGTTTTCAGAGTTTTATATCCACTGACTCACTTCACTCCTAAGACAACTCCAGAAGGTTAACAATGGCAAGTTAATACATTCAGGAAGAAATTGGGGCTAAGAAAGGCTCAAAGGCTTGTTCAAGGCCGTTCATAGCAAATTAAGCAAAAGAACCAAGTAGAGGATGCGAGTCCTTTGCTCTTAATTCAGGGGCCTTTCCATGGTGCCAAACTGAACATTTCTGGTATTGGCTCTTCTTGGATTCTGGAGGGTATGGAGTTCCATGCTAAGGGAATTTGACTTTGACTGAGGGACTCTAGAGAGAAGGTGGGAGGCTTCGCAGTAGGGAATGCTATGTTTAAGTCCATGCCGGATGGAAACAAATCTGGTAGCAAGATGTAGGATGTGTTAGAAGAGACGTCAGAAAGATAAGACAATTGGGACATGGCTTCAAGCTGGGACATATTTTTAAATATATATCCAGTCACACATTGACTAAGTTAGCTTTTCAAATGCTGTTTGGTTTTTGTTTAGAAGAAGATCTTGGTCAGGTTGCCAGTATTATTTTTAATAGGCTTCATATACACTAACATTTTCTTAAAAGAATTCTTAGGCTGAAAACATTTTAAAAACTGTATCTCCTGGGAACAGGCTCGTAGAATTATTAATTTGAGTAGATGTGTACAAGTGAGTGAGGAAGCCAGAAGTCATCTTGGGGCATCATTCCTCAGGGCTAGCCACCTTGTGTTTGGGGGTTTGCAAATCAATCCAGGCTAGCTGGAGAGTGAGTCCCTGGGATTCCCCTATCTCAGTTTCTCAAGTGCTAAAATACAAGTGTCAACTACCATATGTGGGTGATCCAACAGAAGTCCCTGTATTTGTGTGGCAAGCACTTTATAGACATTCCCCAGTCCTGTTTGCTGTTTTCATGGTTACTTTCATGGTTCCATTTCTGTTAATTATATAAAGTGTACTGCTAAATACATTTTACTGAATATGTCAAATTAAAGAAAAATATTGCTGGTTCTAAGACACAGGTCGGGTAATGCCTATAAAAAAGAATGTTTGTAGTTGTACTTACTAGTGACTAAGTTCAGAAAATTATGTATGCATTGACATAAGGGTTTAGATGAATATGAAATGAGGGCAGGGATAACAGACAAAAAAATAGGTTCTGATAGGTATTTTCAGTGAGTTAAAGGTTTGGGGTACATCCATCTCTCTACAGTATTTTCTGCATTGTTTCTTAAGATGCCCTCGGCTGCAATAATGGAAAATATTAAAAGTTTTAGGCAGCAAAATCAATTTGTTATTTCATAAATCAAGAACCCTGTGATAGGGTGGCTCTGAGGTTCATGGTCAGTGACTCATGAACATTAATAAACACTCAGCTTCCAACTGCTTTCCAGATGTAACATAGTGACCAGGCTACATGGTACTTCATGGCTTCCAGATGCCTGATGTGAACTGAGAAACACCATCATGAGATGCAGTATTTCCAGTGTGACAAGGACATCTGAGCTGAAGCATGAAGGATGAAGAAATGTTTCCCCAAAGGTGTGAGCATGGAAAGGTTTTTCTTCAGGACTCATTGATGACACATACACCATGTGTTCATTTACAAATCAGTTAATGCAATGGGAACTAACATTTGCCTAGACTAACCTATACAAACTAGGACTTGGTCTGTGAGCAGCCATAGATAATTTCCCCAAAGGATCAAATTCTCAAGAGAATGGGAGCTCCGTTGACAAATATGGCCAGTAGGTAGTCAGCCATGTCTTTTACAATTACTATGGAGAACTTAGTTTTCATCTAATACTTGTGGTTTCAACATTTCTCAAATTCATCTTTGCAAATAGTTGAGAAGTTCTTGAGACTGTGGTTCTTCACATCTGTAGAAGTCTTATTTAGCTCTTCTCTCCATGTGCTGAATTAGGGCAGAGCGAAATACTTCAAATGCAAAATCCACTTCTGGCTTAGTGACACACATTGGCGGCGCAATTCGGAAAGTCTGAGGGGGCAGAGAAAAACAGAGCTTGAATCATCAGATAATTAAATGGGACTTCCAAGAAATGGATTAAACCAAGAATCCCAAACCAGAAATATTTTCACCATATTTCTGACATTTCTAACACTAGGCTGAATTCCGCCTCTTCTTCCCTCCTCAGCTTTTACTTTCAGGTCTTTACATCTTGCTTTGTACTTTTTTCTTTTTGACATCAGTTTACCTGCTTGTTCTACCACCTTCCCTGAGATCTTACTTTACCACCTCCCTCATGCTCAGTTTCCGCCATCACAAAACATCAACTTTCCTAATTACCAACTTCATTTCCACTATTCTATGTGTACTCATGTTCAAGTTCAATGCCTGGATAAGCCAATTGCTGCTTCCCATTGTGCCCACCATTTTCGTAAGAATTTTAGGCTCTTCATTCCTTCATTATCTTCTGAGCCATCACTCTGTTCAGATCTCTTCCTTCTTTTGCCTCACAGCTTGGAGAACAAAGCCAACTGAACTACCCTCTCTCTTATTTTGCACACGTTTCTAGCCCAGTGTTGCTTCACTCATTTGGCCTCAGTCTCAGTGCTGATTATAGTAAATGAACTGCTTTGTTTCTACATACATGGCTGAGAAATATATGACAATCACACAGGAGACCCGAGTGACACTACCAGATATATGCAGTCTCCAACATCTCTTGGCCCTTGAGAATATTCTCTTCCTCTACCAGCTTCCTTTCAATTCTTTTAAACCTTTAGTTTTCTTCTTAGTTTCCTTTTCACCAACTTCTATGCTTCCCATTACATTTCATAAGTAATCATGGTTCCTATTTCCTTAAAGGAAATCGAACCTCCCAGACAAAGTCTTTAAACCAGTTTGTTCCCACATGCATTCTTTGATCTTTCCCAAAGGTTCAGAGAATGATGTCTTTACTCTTCAGTTCTAATCGGTCCACTTCAGCTCTTGACTCTGGATCATCACTTTCTTTCTAGGAAACATTGCCCTGTTCCCTCAACTCTTTTACCTTCATTCAACTTCGTCTCAACCAGTATCAGTAAGATGCTTGAATTTAACATAATCCTGATTCAGACACACCAAGCAGAAGTCTGAGTTGAGTCTCAGTCTCGTGCAGATGAAATGCATATACGTTCTTCCTGCTTTTACTCAACCTTATTTAAAAGTCTCCCTGAGGCAAGAATATCAGTCCTCGTTTAGAAAGACAGATGGGATGCGCATTGAACATATGACAGGAGTCTACTGAGCGCATTGGAAAGACTCTAACTAGCAGTGTTTTCAAAGCAAAGACTCATGACAAAACCTTTGGCAGAGTACAGGGAATCATAAGAAAGAAGGGGAGTTAGTCTGATGAGGAAAGGATAGGAGCTCCACAAGGACCAAATGTATCTGGGCACAGGGTCTTTTCAGAGACTGACATTCAACCAAGGACCATGTATGAATGTAACCTAGAACCTCTGCTCAGATGTAGCCTGTGGTAGCTCAGTAACCAATTGGTTTCCCATAGTGAGGGGAACAAGGACTATTTCTAACAGGAACTCAATGACTGGCTCTTTGGCCTCCCCACCCCCAAGGGAGGAGCAGTCCTGTTAGGCCACAGAGGAGAGCTTTGCAGCCAGTCCTGAAGCTACCTGATAAAACAGGATCAGATGAATGGGGAGGAGGTCCCCCCATCAGTGGACTTGGAAAAGGGCACGGTGGAGATGAGGGAGAGGGAGGGAATGGGAGGGAATGAGGGATCGGGACACAGCTGGGATACAGAGTTAATAAAATGTAACTGATAAGAAAAAAATAAAATTCAAAAAAAAAATTGTTTCAAAATTAAAAAAAAAAAAGTCTCCCTGACACTTACTGGCTTTTGGTCTTCACTCCATTGTTCCCTTAGACACATCCCAACTCATTGTAGCATGTGTTCTGTCCTATTAACTTTCTGATACCTGCAAGGCATAGGATCTATTGGGCATTTCCCAGGCCTTGTCCTTCCTGATTATTTCTGTTGTGCTTCACATTTGGGCACCCGTTTTCTGATCCATCTTGTCTTCTGCTTCAATAACCCCACAGTCCCCTTAATTCTTAACACACCATTGACCCTTTCATGTCTCCACCTTCTCCATTTCCCTTGTGTTTTCTGAAAGGAATTCTTTTCTTTTTGGGGGGGGGGTTTTAGCAATAAACTTTATTTATTATCATTTCATTTATAACATGTGTATAAACTCACACTTATATTACTACTTAAAATAATATGTAATTATAATCTATTACTGAATATAAGCTTTTGCTTAGTTCTATAATTAACTTCAAATATTGAATATCATTGATTAGAAAATGTGTCTATAATTTTTACTTTAAAAATGCTTAAACAATATTTTGCATTACAAAGAAAATTGTGCAGTGATTTTTTCATATTTATAATTGTGACTTTTCTCAAAGCATACAATCATTTGTTTTAAACATTTTTTTTTGTTTTTGCACAGGAATATATAATTTTACCAGTACTCTTCTTGTAAGACTCATACAGTTGTCCACAAAATATACAAATTCTAAGTTGTATTCAGTGTCACAGTCATTTTCTTTTCTTTTGAGTATTTTTTATTTTATTTTATTTTTTATCTATTTATTTTTTTATTATTAGTTACATTTTATTAACTCTGTATCCCAGCTGTATCCTGCTCCCTCATTCCCTCCCAACCCCTCCCTCCCTCCCTCCTTCATCTCCTCCCTGCCCCTTTCCAAGTTCACTGATTGGGGAGACCTCCCTGAAAGGAATTCTTTTTTTTTTTTTTTTTTTAATGTATATGTCTTATGTTTTATTTATTTATTTATTTATTTTTTACATTTTTTTCTTTATTAATTAGACTTTATTCACTTTGTATCCCCCCTGTGGTTCCCTCCCTCCTCCTATCTCAATCCCTCCCTTTCTCCACCCTCTGCAAGAAGGAAAAGAAGACCTCCCCTATCAGTGGACTTGGGGAGGGGCATGCGTGAAAGGAATTCTTAAGCTTCTCTTCACCTCACTGGGCTTCTCACTGGGACACTAGACTTCCCAGTTTTCCTCATTTTACCATTCGCATGCTGGTGACCACAAACTATAATCTTTACTCCAATCTTTGCCACCTAACCATATACCTAACTACCAAACCAGATGCTCATAAAAGCCTTAAATGGAGCACGTTCAAACAGGAATGCCCAAGTTAAGCCAAATCAGTCATGGGTGTTTCATCCTTGACTCTTGCTTATTCTTTAGATTGAAATATTATGCAGTTTTTTCCCAAATCATCATCACTGATGAAGCACAGACAGCCTCCTTAGTTCCTGCCAGACTCCCTAACTCCAGTCTTGTCTTACAGGATAGACTCAGAAATGCACTCACTAGGTATAAGACCTGGGCACCTTACTTAACTTCGTGGTATCTGTTTTCATTTATCCACACAGTACGGGACATAATAGTACTTTGGCTTATTGAGGTTATACAACATATTGAGATGAGTGACTGACAAGGTGACGGGATTTCTAGCTGTTCTTAGCCATCATCTCAAACTGATGCTCCAGCCATACCAGTGTGTGGACAGCTCTTGCGCTCTGCCATGCTTTTCCTCAAGCTTTGTCTATTTTCATTGTGAGTTAAGGCTCTGCTAGCCAAAATGACTGGTCTAGGCACCTGCTCTCTCTTCTTCCACAGCATCAACTTTTATATCTGCAGAAGAGATTTGTGTATAGTATTGCATTTTTGTATTTGCATGATTTTTTTTCTCCCATAAGCTCAAAGACAAATGAGATCAGAACATATTCATCATTGTTGCAGCAATGGTTCCTGGCATACCACCGAAAGAAAAGCTAAACAAGAGGGCAAATATTTCAGATCTTTGTAATTGAGGATTTTAATAACTAAACTACACTATTTTATAAGAACAGAAAACCATTCCTAGTGTTTTTTTCAGGCTGATAGCTGCAATTTCCTGATAAGCCTAAGGCAAGAAGTGGATCTTTCAGTATTCACTGTGTCATCCAGGAAGGGATCAGGACACAAGAAGAACGAGGAGTGTTTAAACTGCGTAGACATATTAAATTGCATTTATAAGAAAGAAGCCTGGTGTTCCGTTGCGCACTGGAGTGACTAAAGGTAGCAGCAATGCACTGTGTATTTCAAAAGTCCAGAAGAGAGTACCTTTGAACATTATAATATATATAATATTTGAACATTATAATATACATAATCAATATATCCTTGAGTACTTCCTAAATATTTGCAATGATGATGTTTCATAAAAGAAGCGGGAAAATTAAGAGGAAAAAGATTTTCAGTGAGCAGAAGTCACTCTCACTCCTGAATCTCTACCATGGAAAGCATCCTGGTGAGCGTCCTGAGGTTTTGGGATTTAGAGGCAGGTCGTGTTGTACATGATGATGATGATCATCATCATCACCATCATCACCATCTCATTCCTATAGCACGGGTTTAGATCGGGGTCCTGATAGTAGAGTGGGCATAACTTCCGTGAAGGGGGTAGGGTGAGTCCTGTCTTGGATTATTCTAGCTGAAGGTGAAGGACACTGTAAGGAGCTGATCTTGAGTTCTGCATGAGGGACCATCCTAAGAATGGCTATGATTGTTTTCTCAGGGGTTAGAACTAATTAATATATAATGCA